ATCAAAGCAAAAATGTGGTAGTGTGTGTAATCTGGTTAACTCCCTATTGACTGCAGATAGTTCTGGCAGATTCATATCGGATAGAGTCTGTCGACATCGCAACTTGTGCGCAGCGCAATTGCTCTCTAGTTATATTTTCTAACTATGCGTCTTATGAACCTTATTTATTGTTTTACAAACTGAGCAAATATCCGAATGTACATTTATCCCCATTTTTCACCATTTTTCACACCCCATTTTTCACTGGATTGTGAGAGAAGTCTGTTTTAATACCGACTAGCTTTAAGCGTTACTAAAATAAAGATTAAGCAAAACAGTCTTTGTTTAACAGCAGAACTGCACTCTGACTTATATTATGTCTTATTTCTTTTCATCCATCTTATTTTAAGATGCTTGTTCTTTCAAGCCATTCTTCTGTCTTACTTCTATGATTGACAGAAAAGTCGAAAAAAATTTACTTCAAAAGCGTCATCCAAATACTTATTCTATTTACCTTCATTTTGTATTTTGTACGTATTCTGCAGCCATACTCAAGTTTTGTAGAGCAAATACATGCACGGCTACTAATTTGTTTAACTCAGTAGAAATAAATAAGTTTATTTTATACATGTATAACGATTGATATTGTGGTGTTTATATACAAGCGGTCAATGCAAAAGAAAAGGGTGACTGAATTATCCAAGTACTTGGCTGAAGCAAGTCCAGCAAGTACACTTGGCAGGTTCTTGATCAAGTACTTCCCAAGCAGTCATCAATTAATCAAGTACTTGCACCAAGTGCTTTCACTAGGTATTGCATCTTCATTCTTCTGTCTTACTTCGATGATCGATAGAAAAGTCATTTATCTATTTTGATAGCGTTTGCCACTTATTATATATAAAGAACATCAATTTATTTTGTTTATTTATTTTTTTTCTTACTAAAATCAATGATATAGTCAGTATTTGAGGTGCTCTTGCGATCCTCCAACAGGGCTATACCCATCAACTGCTAATAATGAAAATAAGATGTAAAAGTAGCTCACATAAAGGTAAGACAGCATAAGTCTGGGCGATTTGTCTCACTATAAGATGGATCAATTCTACTATTTCGCAACTGACTTCTGTCGTCTTGTTGTCTAAATATAAAGATTCACTAGTTGAAATCTAACGATTGCCGTATCCAGTCTAGATAATATGAGGTCCGAGCATAAATTCCTGGTTTATCAGCTATTGCACACTGTTCTCCGTAAGATACAATACCATCGACATAGAAACGATTGTTGTCTGTCGTATATCGTTTAATATACAGACCACCGCCGCTATCGCCCTAAAAAGATATATATTGAAGAAAATACCTGATTAGAATGAATATTGACTACTTACTTGACAAGCATCTCTCATTCCTTGTAAATCACCACAACATATTTGACTATTCCAGTTTTTCAGATTCGAAGGTGATACATTCGAACAGAAAGACTCCGGATAGACTGTGACGTTAGTTTGTTGTAACACATTTGAACCTGTAGGAATAAAGTCAATTCTGATTTTTAATCTAAATAACAACTAATTAGCAAAATTACCTCGATTGCTTCCTGAATTGTGAGATGAAAAACAAACATTTGATCACATCAACAATTGCAATTATCGTCTTACCATACGAAGTATCTCCCCACCCAACAACAAAGCCCGTGGTAAACGCTTCTGGCACAGTCGTTGAAGGTGTGTTCTCTAAGCAGGCAAATTGAATGTTGGGTGACGGATTGATAAATTCTTTTAGTTTAATTATTGCTATATCGTTTAATAAGTCAGTTTTACTAAATAATGGATGCTAAATTAAACATATTGGTTTTTACTAATAAAACTGCATTAAATGACAGGTGCTTTTTACTTTTATTGCTTCACTTGCTTGAACAGTTAATGCTTCTACTTCATTTTTACGACTGTGAATTCCAAGTAAAACTTGTACCGTCTATAAATATAGTTAAAAAAGATGCATATATTACTTCTTTTCTATCAATAAAAATACGTACACTCTCTACATTTGGATAATAACTGTTCCATGTTATAGACAACGTTGAACTCTCATAATCGAACCTACAACACTAAGGTGAAATATGTGTATCTAACAAACGAGAGAATATACATCTAAGTATCCCTACGTATCACCAGACGATTTTATACAATGGGCTGCTGTCAAAACTGTTCGATGATTAATTAAAATACCGCCACAGAACCAAGTGCTTGATATCTGAAAAAATGGCTTTATCAAATGTATATTTATTAACAGGCTAAAGGCAAGGACCTATACATTTGCATAGATGTATCAAGCTATTAGCTAAAAACTTTGGTTGTTATGAAATATTGTGTCCATGCATTTTTCAACATATAGTTTTGAAGGAAAAAAAAAGTTGTCAGTTGTATTGGCATCAGACACAATAGATGAAT